TTCCCGGGGAGTTCCTCTAAAATTTTCATAAATTTGAATTTTTCAGAGAATTCCAATGGTGGCTTTTGTAGAGATCCTGATAATACGCATCAATTCCATGGGGAACGCCTGGGAAGTCCTCGCGAAGTCTCTGGCGAATCCATGAGGAGTCCATGAATCTCATCTTAACTTCTCCAGCGACTCACGACAAGGATTCCCCCGGGATTCTTCTAGGGAGTCTCGACTAGGGTTCAGATACCATTAAAATCAGATATTCCCTTATCGTGTTAGGTTTCGAATGAAACACGCCTATTATTCAGTATGATTAATCGAATACAATATTTATAAAAAGAAAAAGAAAACATTATGTAAGATGAAGAAGTGATTTCATCAATGGATTAACATGCGTTACATCAATATTACTCCTAATATATTGTCGAAAATCTCTTGAAACTTTTTGAATTTTTAATAATTGTTCAATAATATGTGTGATTTTCATTATGACTACTTCAAACGATGATTGTTCCATTAAATATCGAAATAGTAAATCAGTATATTTTGATTGAGCATAGAATACATGTTTTTCATCATTTAAAAGTGGTTCGTGATCATCATTAGCTGATAAACCTTTTGAAAAAATCATAATAAGCATAAGTAATTGAATTATAATAGGATCTTTGTTAATTATATTAGCAAGAACATGAAAAATAGACATAACAGTTTTATTAAATTCATAACCATAACAGAGAATAAATAAACTTTTACGATATTGAGCAAATGCTTCCTCATTTGGTGAAACAGTATCACCAGTATCAAGATCATAAAATATTTCACGTACAGAATCGAAATTTAATGAATGATACATAAAAAAAAGTAATGTTAAATTATACTTAACAAGTATTAAACGATTATCTTCATCAAGTTGTTTAAATTCGGGTATTTCTCGAAGAAAATTAATTAATTTAATTGCAGTAAATTTTTGTATATCAATTGTATTTATAAATGTAGACATTTTATCAGATGCTAATTCACATGAAATAACAGAGGAAGCTGATGGTGTTGATTGAGATGCAGAAAAATAAGCTTTTTGAATATGTAATAAACATAACCGATCAGTTTCGGTAAGAAGTTTAGATGAATATGAACCAACATTATAAACCTAAAGAAAGTTTTTTTTGAAAATCAAACAAATGTGAATATCTCTCTCTCTCTCTCTTACTGATTTATTTTTTTGATTTGTTGTTATAGATTCTATAATATTCTTACTTTTATTATTATTATTATTATTATTATTATTAATTAATGTAGAACGTAATTGACGATTTTCTTCCAAACGTTGTTTTTTTAATTGTTTTTCTTCGGGACTTAAAATAAAATCTCTACGCATACCTAAATATGTCAAATTTTAATTTTTTGTTTTAAATAATCTATAAATATTTATTAAAACTAATCAAGGAGAAAGTTTATTTTTACATAGATGGTTTCTTTTTTCTGTATAAATAAATGAATCGTTTTAAACCTGATCGAGTTTCAATTTAAGATTCACGTCTCGGCAGAGTTAAAACCGTTCCAATCCGGTTGAATCCATCTGTATTCACCATTTTTTTATCGATGGCAAAAAAAAACAGTTTTACAGATATCTCTTTTTTCTCTAATAAAATATGTTGAGAACAAGTTTAAGCATTCTTATCACAATAGTCAAACAGTGTTTTTTTGTGAAAACTATCAGTTTTAGTTCTTTAATTGAAATATATTTCACTTTGTAAAAAAATTCTGTTACTTGAACCAAACTTATATTTCTTTCGAAGAAAAGTATTAAATTTTTCTGTAAAAGCCTACATTCAAAAAAAAATCCAAGATTTGGAGTTTAATTAATTCAAAATGACACAACAAACTAGTCAGATCAGATCGATTCGAAAATTCTCGAACGCTTACAAATCTGAATTTTAAGTCGAAAAGATTTCAACACATGAAGTTTTAAATTTCACAATCGATGAAATGTCTATCCACACCTTAATTCTGTTTTTATTCTTATTTCATTTGAATTCAGAACATCGAATTTAATTAACTCTTAAAAGCCGAATGTGTCTCCCTAGGGATATTGCAATAATTACTATTTGTAGACTTACGAGAGAATCTCATCAAGTGATTAAAAGCTTTTGAAGTGATATTTTGTCCATAGGTAGGACCTGATGAGACTAGAAAAAGCCTAAAAGGATAAGTTCTCACAGGTCTTCCTTCTGTAGCTATGACCGGTATACTGGATATTTGGTCCATGGCAAGATATTTAGCAAAAACAACCAAATAACAAAAATTTTAACCTGAAATTTTACTCATATTTAGGTCCCATGGTCCTTAGTATGCGCTAAATGTTTCAACGAAAACGGATCTTTTTTTTTCCAAGATAATAAATATATAAGAAAAGTCGTTTTTTCTGAATTCTCTGTGAAATGCAGACACTTCTTTTCAATTCATCATCTTGAGAAAGAAAGATCTGCTTTCGTTGAAATTTTTAGCGCATACTAAGGACCATGGGACCTACATATGGACAAAATTTTGTTATTTGATTTTTTTCTAAATATATTGCTATGAGCCAAAAATTTAGTAAACCGATCATAGCTTCGAAAGGAAGACCGGTGAGGACTTATCCTTTTGGGCTTTTTCTAGTCTCACCAGGTTCTATCTATGGACAAAATATCACTTCAACAGCTTTTAATTACTTAGTGGAATTCTTTCGTTAGTAAAACTTTATATGCAAAAATCAGTAAATTTCCTAACTAACATGACCTTATAAATCATAAGCTAAAAACTAAATCTCTCTTACGGAGCTGTCAGACAGTGCGACAAAGTTTTTAAAAGGAATGAATCGTTGATCCCTCATGACGTCGTACTAATAAGTTTTTCGAACTATAATATGATCATATCGAATGTTTAGAATCTCTATTTTTTTTTCATACTTTTTGGTTTTCAATTCTTTCTAAATATTAAAAAGGCTTGACAATGGTCTAAAACATACTGGCAATAACATAAAAAATTTTTTCTAATACCTTCTTGAAAACATTTAAGCAATCGACAACGTTGACATTTATTTTTAACATTATATGCAATGTTACATCGAACTTTAAAGTCATTATCATTATAATTAATACATTTTGCTTTTTCCTATAATCAAATTATATATATATATGTTAATTATTAAATAAATATTAAGGGGAAAAGAAAAACTTATTTACAATCGATTGAAAAGCATGACGACGAAAAAATGCTACAAAAGAAATTAAAATAAATATTTCTATAGGAAAAAAAAAAATATTAAATAACCGACCTTTACAAGATTCACATGATATTTGACTAAAATTATAACCAACAGCTTGACCTCCACAAATAACGCATGTTAAATCAGCTTTACGTTTTTTTTTATTTGTATTTTTCGGAATATCAACTGATATTTCTTGTTCCTAAAAATAAAGAAAAAAAAACAAACTTTTATATATATTTCAATCGTATTTAAAAGGAAATTCATACTGATTGAGATACAAATTGTTGAGTAGTTTTATTATTAATTCGATATTCATTCATTAGATTTGTATTATTTAAGTCAATAATAAATGTATCAACATTTGTTGACTTCAAACATGAAAGAATATTATCATTATCATCATCAACTGATGTGATAAATACCATTTTTTTCGATTTTGTATTTTCGCTTTGTTCTTTATCATTAGATATTAATTTTGAATTATTAATATTTGCCATTAGATTGTTTCTTAGACTTATATTATAATGAACGAAAAGTGTATTTATATATTTTCTACATATAAATTACTGTAAAGAGATGAATAATAAAATGTTTGTTTAAGGATGAAAAAGAAAAAATCTCTCATCCGTAAATATTTAGTCGTTGTTTTTCTTCTTTTTTTTTCGCTTTTTTTTCCTTACCTTCGTTTATTATTAGGATCGAATAATATTATATACAAGATTGTATCTCTAAAATAAGGCATTCTTTATGTGATTGATAAAGAAAAAACGAATAGTAACATACATTATGTATGTATTTATTTTTCTTTTTGTTTTTGGTAAAAAAAAAATTAGAAAAGCTTATTTCAATTGATATATAGTCAATCATGTTATTAATTAGATAAAGAATCTTTTGAATTAAATTTTATGTCTGTAATTCAAATATGATGAAGTCATTAAAGTTATTTTGAAACGATTGAACATGCTAAGCAATGATCCAAATAAATTTATATTGTAAGTGATTGGGAAAAGTTTTTGTAATTAATTTCATGCAAAACTTGAGAATTTTCCACTGAGCTACTAGATCTAACTATGTTCATTAATCTGTATTGCGCAAAATTTTAGAAAGTCATTCCTGACAAGATAATTTGTCGACTTCGGAAATCGATTTTTTTTTTTGGCAAATACAGACACAAACTTTGTATAAAGTTTCTATAATAGATTAATAGAAGACTCCCTTGAAGGAATGATGCGTCGGATGTAATAAAAGATTCCTCTGCCCCTTGAGATTAATTAATTTCTCAAAAAATTGGAACTTTAATTAGTATATTTTTATCATAATATGCTTAGTTTTTCAAGATTTTGAACTGAGAACCTTAAAAGACTGACGTCAACATGATTTCTGGACTTTTAAAGTTGTAAAAATGTCGTCGTAAATCTTCAAAATAGTTTTAGTTTTCTGAAAAGTTTCGTTTAATTAAAAATTATGGTAATAAATGAAACATAATAAAAGACCCGAGGTGTTCTATTGTAGGCGAGAAGTTTAGTCGGTATAAAGTAAATAAAATAGCTTTTTCTTTGCTTTATAGTTGACTGTGTATCATCCTTCGAAAAGAAAATGACTTACTTTTATTCTTGATCATTAATAAAGATTACAGTAAAACCTCTACGTATGAACACTTTTTCGTGGTTCTCTTGCTATTATAAGCTCTCTAATATGAATAAAAGTTTAATGTTATTTTTTTAATTCTCTCACTTGTTCATTACCTGTCTTATGTGTACTATCATCAAAGAGAATAAGCGAAAGTTCCGTACTCTACAAGAATATATCAAAAGTATCTCGCAGTGCCGTGTGTGTATGTAAAACACACCAATCAATGTGAAGATATGATTAAATCGATTTTTTTTTGAAAAAAATAAATAACAAAATCTTGTGCTGTAATTTGAAAAATCTCTCAAATCATTTGATCTTTATTTAACACTATAATAGATGAACGTTTTTTTTTAATGGTCCCTATGGTGTTCACAATAGAGAGATTTTATTGTAGTTTTTCTTTTTATGAACTTATATGTATATTTTGTTTGTTTCTTTTTCATTGTTTTCGAATATAAAAGTTACAAAGATAAATCAACTCTTCTTTTTTTTTCATTTTTACAAATCAGAAAATTTTTGCAGAATTTTTTTGCCATTTAGGAAAATTTGTTTCAACGATAAATTCTGGTTGTCTGATTTCACATTTTTTTTAATTGCTAAATTATTCAAATTTTCTCATGGTTGTCTAAACATTTCTCTTCATATAAATATATCTTCATCAGCGAATACAATGGGATTATATTTTTAAAAAAAAGATTAAAGAAATATTTAATAGAACTATCATTGGAGACTTAGATAATTTGCTTTAAACCTATTAACACAACTGATCTTTGTTGGTTACAATATTTGATAGAACAATTAGGAACTGTTTTTATCAATTAAATTCAGTTGGATACAACCAATTAAAGAAATATAACAAATATATTAAGTAGTAATAGATATTAAATTTGAGATTTATAGCATAGAAATGGACGTCAATTTTTCAAAACAGAAGTGTTTCTGACACAGAATTTCTATCAACAATAGTTTGATACAATCAATTAGTTTCACAGGCATGTATCTTGTCTATTCTAGACGCAATTAGTCAAATATTCTTAATAATAACAAGAGACAAATATGCAAAGAGAACATAAACATCGAATCAATAATATTATATCAAGAATTTCCTAAAAGAATTTATCAACGCAATAAGAAAGCAAAGAATATTAACTAATGGTTAGAACATAAAAAAACATTAATACAACATTCCACTATGCCAATACTACCAAAAATTAATTAGCTGAACAAGATATTGTTGACATTGCTAGGTGACGCTGTTTATCTAGCTTAAAACCAAATAATAATATTGATAGCCAATAAAATTTTCTAAAAGAAAAAAAAAACGAACGCAATAATTCTCAGTTCCCAGGAGACGTTATGAGAGTTCATTTTTTTTACGACCTTCTCATACATTGTTACAAACATCATATAAAATACGAAAAAAAAAGCAAAATTTACCAAAAAATTCCTGAAAAATACATTGTTTTTTTCTATTATGTTTGTAACTGTATAAGGGAAGGTCATAAAACATTTGGCGACATCTCTTGTTATTCAGAGTTCTCTGCTTTTTCAGATGATAGCGTTAAAAACGAAATTTCACAACGTCTTATGAGACCTGAAAAACCACTATGTTCGGCTTTTTCTAGAAAAACTTATCGATTTAATCCAACTATGAAATCTTGATATACAGTATATCTTATTATTGGCTATCCAAAGCACAATTCGGACTTGAGTTTAGATACTCAACATCACAGAAAAATTTCAACAATATCTTATTCTTATAATTTCCAGGTGTACTGTATATTCATAAATATGTTTTTTTTTTGTTTTTCTTATTATCTTGCATCAAAAAGGTATCATAACTATTTTCTATCCACTTTATTTAATGGACTCAGCATTCTGCAGTTTTTATGTATTCTATCTATCTAATAAATTTAATTAATAGAACAGTCCTTAATCACTACATGAAACATGGTAACCAAGATGATGAATTTTTAAATAAAAAATGCTTTGAAAAAATACTTTGAAGACATGCTTTGAAACAAATTGATTATTGTCTAGATAAGTGCTAGAGCAAAAACTTGATTAATTCTATATTTTGGAAATTTATTTCCAAAAATTGACACTTTTAGTATATTCAAATCAAACAAGCACGCTCGTAAACGACTATATTTCTCATATTTTATCCTAGGTACTGACTTATAGTTGACTAAAAGTTCTGATAACATCGAATAGAAATATAAAAATAAAGACATATTTTTAATTATATTTTATTCACGGCTCAAAATAATCTTTTTTTTAAACAATATTAGAAATCATATGAGCCAATGATTTTTCACTTGATTAATCGGTTGAGTTACACTTGAAGTAATACATTTAGCTAAAAATCATAATGATGCAAGATGTGGTGAAAACGATGAATGCAGTATTATATTGATACTGTCTTGTCTTAAATAATTAATAACATGAGAATCTATCTGAAGTTCAGCTTTGTTATCAAGTAGTTTTATAAGTTTTGCATCTGAAAGACTGTCGTTGTGTTAATATTTCATTGACAACAAGTTTGAAGCAATTTTCAATGTAATAGTATTGATCTATACTTGATTTATACTGTGTACATAAAGAACAAGATCATTTGATTTAAAGAATATAGAAAACAAAGTTTTTAGTTTAAATCTCTATGATAAATTTATATATCACTATTCATAATAATTTTACATAATCACTATTAGATAATTGTGAATAATTCGTTCTATTGTACTATACGAAAAAGAGAAGTCTTAGATATAACATCATCATAAGTTGAATGTGGATTATTGTTGATAATCTGTTGTACTAATTCAATATTTATATCTCTGTCAGTTTAGAAACCGAACGATCAGATCAAGGATTATTCTTGACATTTCCTCTTCCTTTATGAAAATGCTTTACCCATCTTGCAACTGTTCGATATGATGGAGTGTTCGATCCCAATGCTTTTGTAAGTTCCTTATGAATTGTTTTTGCATCTATTCCCAAAAAAGTCCGAATTTTAATATAGGATCGAACATATTCATTATTCATATTTTCTTTTTATATTCGAATTGGATTTTATCTGAAAGAATATTAAAACTAAGCTAAAAATAGATTTATTATATATATATATATTATTTTAGACAAAACAGTCTCTTGTTTATTTATGCAACAGAACTCTTTAATGTAAACTAGTTTATACAGTTGTCAATAATATTATCAGACACTATTTAATATGAAGGTTTTCATATAAAACTTTTTATTATAAAAAAAAATTCAATATATAATTTATTTAATAAACTAATGTAAAATCATTAATCCAAATATAACGAGAAAAAAATAAATATAAATAACGAAACCAAACAAGTTGAGATCGATGTTCGAACATTGCACGATGTGGTGTTAAACAATATTTTACTGGTAAAATAAATGTTTTCATATTTATTGATTTTTTTTGAAAATAAATTCTAAATAATTCTATTAAAGTAAAATATTTTCTATAGATTGGTAATGATTGAAGTGCAAAAAAATGTATTTGACTTGTTTGAGATAATTTTAATAAAGCATAATAAATAGATATATGATTTTTATGACCACTTATACCATAATTATCAAATGAAATTATTATTGAAATATTCCATTGACGTATTGCTTGTTTAACATGACCTAATATAGCATCTGAAGACCATGAAATTGTTTGATCATCTTTTAAATTAATTTTATCATCAATTATTTTATAATTATTAATACCAAGTTTAATACATGAACGACGTAATTCATCGGATCGATGATTATTTCCATTTGAAAGACATAATATATATTTATTTGAATCAATAGATAATAAAATAGGTGAAAAAAATAAACATTCATCATCTGGATGTGCTATAACTAAAAGATAATTTCCATTATATTGATTAGAATTTTTTGAAGATATTAAACGAATTAAAATAAATGGAGAAATAATAATTAATATAAAACATATGAAGATAATTAACAATAATAAAAACATCTACAATATGAAAGGGAAAAAAAAAAGATTTTTTATTTATTCACTTTTCTAAGGAGAAAGAAAAAAAAAACTTTTTATAAATTGGACAAAAGAAAAATATAAAAATTTATTTCTTTTGTGGATTTGATTCAGGTTTGAATGGTACATATGATGATGGTTGAGGAAGACGATATTTAGTCATCGATGTCTCGATATCATAATAACTAAATATTGTATAATTATACATATCAGCAGCATAATATTTTACATCAGAATGTTCTTTGCTTGGTGATTTATCTTTTGAAGACAACAACATTAATTGATTGAATAACAATGAAAAGAAATTTACTTTGACTTGATGAACTCTCTTTTGTTGATATAGAACCAGAACGAGAAAGAACAGGAACAAACTAAAATACTAGATTATATTTTTTCTATTGAATAAATTAATAATACGTACTTGATGATAGTAAATACGACTCAAAATCGATGAAGAACGAAAGATTTTATTAGAAATCATCTAAAATATATATATTCTAGATAAATAAAATTATGATTCGATGAATTTTAATTCATCAGAAATAAATACATTAAATTTTTATCTAAGAAATTATAAATACATAGTAAGTATTCTCTCTCGTCATCAGATTCTATTATCCTAGATATTATGAAAATATTCTTCTATAAATCACATATCTAGTAAAAAAAAAAACCTAGTAATTATTTAGAGATTTATCATTGTTATCATAGATATTCTTTTGCCCATTAAATTTATGAAGAAATACAAAAGAAAATATTTCATAGTTTCAACATGTCTTCCAGTCGTTACAGAGTAGAAAAAAAAACAAGGGTATTTATTTTGACATGAATGTCATTAAAAAGATTAAATATTACAAAATGAAAATTAATAGGAAAATCAGTTTTTGACTTTTCCATGTTTTTTTTTGTTCTATTGTTTATACTACGTGGTTCACATAAATTATAATTCTCATGTTGATTAGTATATTCAACATATACACACAACAGCACTGCGTGAATATGAAGAATATAATTGAAGTGTCAAAAACATTTTCTTTGTGTTTTTTACATATAGAAAACTCGCTAGAGATAAATTAAACTTACATATTATTAGAAATAAATAAATAAAAATGACTACCGACATCTATTATCAGAACAGATAAATATATTATTAATTTACTTCTTTTTATTCAATTTAATAAATTAATTTTCTTTAAAAAATTTCTAAAAAAAGTTTAAAAAATTTCTTTGATTAAAATCGTAAAAATTTTAATGAAGGTCAATTATATTTGTTAATGGCATTATCAGTCAGCCGAAAAATCATCGAGACATCTAGACAACAAATGATTATCCGAAACAAAGAACATTGATAAAAAAAAAGAAGAAGAAAGAAAAAAAACGTTTGTTTATTTTTTTTTTCTTTTAGTTTATCTAATGAAATTTTTTATATCAATCAATAATCGTCAATGTTATCAATAAATATCTAAGTTATGAAAATTATTAAACAATCAATATATAGGAAAAACAATTCTTTATAGAGAATGAATTAAACAAAAACAAAGAAGCAAAGAAAAAAAAAACGAGAAACTAGAGAATTAATTAGCAATTTGTTTTTTTCTTTTTGTATCTATTAATTATATTTAAAATATAAACAAGAATAAAACTAATCATGGCTGATCTTGAGGCTGTATTAGCTGATGTTTCCTATTTAATGGCAATGGAAAAATCCAAATCGACACCAGCAGCTTCAGCAAGTAAAAAAATTGTTTTACCCGATCGAACGTAAGTTTATATATTTATATGAATGTTTGCTTTATTTTTTCTTTTGTACATTTTTTTTTTGAATAGAGTACGAAGTGTTACACATAAACATTTACAAAAAATGTATGAAAATACATTTGACAAAATATTTAATCAACAAATCGGTATGTAATCTTAGCTGTTGCTGTTTGTTTTCATCATCATCATATCGAGCACTTTTTTTTTCTTTTGTTTGATTTTTAATAATTATCTATAGAAATCTGTAAAGATCAATAAAAACATGTTTTTCTTTTTTTTTTTGTTCCTTATCATTACGAGAGTATTGTTTGAAGAAAAAATATCTGATACGATCAGTCAAATATAAGAAATAATTCTTTTTGTCTATTTGTCTAATTTAATTCTCTTAGATTTTTACAGAAAGAAAAAACTAAAACAAAAGTAAAACGATATTGATAGATTATATTGTTCTTCTGTTTTTTGTTTTTTCTTCTCATTTTCTTTTGTAAATGAATTTCTCGTATAGTAGAGAGAGAGAGAAAGAGAGAGACATTGATCGATTTTTTTTTCTTTCTCGCGAAAATAGTAGTTTCTCTTTTATAAGTGAAGAGACCCTAAAAGTGTCATCTATTGTAACCCCCTCCGGTCTTTATTGCTTTCAGGTGGTGATATATAGTATTGTTGATAATGATTTTTTTTTAATTCTCTAAACTCACACGCGTCAAATCCCTAAGGGGAATCATTTTGTGAGTGTTAAATAGTTAACACGCAAAGAGTTCAGAAGATCAATTGAAAAAAACAAAAAAGATTATTATTTATTTATTTATTTTAGGATTTCTTCTTTTCAAAGAATATTGTTCAACATTATGTGATGAACCTGTGCCTCAATTAAAATTCTATGAAGAGGTATTTTAAATTAAAAATCAAAAACAAAAAAACAAAATTCTTTTGTTTGTTTTTTTTAAATAAATAGATAAAACGATTTGAAAAACTTGAAACCGATGAAGAACGATGGAAAGTTGGTAAAGAAATTTATGATCAATTTATAATGAAAGAACTACTTTCAAATTCTCATGTAAATTTAATTTTTTGTTTTTTATTTATATTTATTTGTTTTGTTTATTTAAAGACATATTCTGATCGAGCTATTGATAGCGTTAAAAAACATTTATCAAAATATAATCCAAATAATCCAAAAAATAGTTTACCATCAACATTATTTGAACCATATAAAAAAGAAATATGTGATTCATTACGTGGAAGACTTTTTGATAAATTTATTGAATCAGAAAAATATACAAGATTTTGTCAATGGAAAAATTTCGAACTTAATATTCAGGTTTATATTAAATAATTAAATTTTATTTAAAAACAAAAAATTTCTTTTTTATCTTTCAATTTAGTTAACAATGAATGATTTTAGTGTACACAGAATTATTGGTCGAGGTGGTTTTGGAGAAGTATATGGTTGTAGAAAAGCAGATACAGGAAAAATGTAAATTGATTAAAATTATTTATTTTAATAAATAAATATTATTTTTATTTATTGGAAAGGTATGCAATGAAATGTCTTGATAAAAAACGTATTAAAATGAAACAAGGAGAAACATTAGCATTGAATGAACGTATTATGCTTTCACTTGTTAGCACAGGAGTAAGTTTAGAATTATAATTATTTAATATTTTTGATAATTTTATTTTTTTAACAGGAAGAAGGTTGTCCATTTATTGTCTGTATGGCATATGCATTTCATACAGCAGATAAACTCTGTTTTATTCTTGATCTTATGAATGGTAAAGATTAGTTGAAAACAAAAAAAGAATTTAAATATTATTTATTTCTTAAATTAAGGTGGTGATCTTCATTATCATTTATCTCAACATGGAGTTTTTTCAGAGAAAGAAGTAAAATTTTATGCAGCTGAAATTATTTTAGGATTAGAACATATGCATCTTAGATCAATTGTTTATCGTGATCTTAAAGTAAAAAATTTTTTTTTATTTTTGAAAATATTAATTATTTTTGTTTTAATTAAAATAGCCAGCAAATATTTTAATTGATGAACATGGTCATGTTCGTATATCAGATTTAGGTTTAGCTTGTGATTTTTCAAAGAAAAAACCACATGCAAGTGTTGGTACACATGGTTATATGGCACCTGAAGTTTTAGCTAAAGGTGTTGCATATGATTCAAGTGCAGATTGGTTTTCATTTGGTTGTATGCTTTATAAATTACTCAAAGGGTATGTTTTGCATCTATCATCAAAAAAATATTTTTTTTGAATTTATCATTATATTAAATTCTTATTAAAATATTAGAAAAAAAAAGAGATAAGATAACAAATCAAATAATATTCATTTTCATGTAAGAAAGTGATTCTATCAAACTGAAAAATATTCATATTAGAGTACTATAACCCACAGATCAAGTATGAGTGGGAAAATATGCGTTTTCAATATTGTTGTTTAATAGCAATATCTTTGATTGCAGTAACAAAGTGGTTGTAATAGATGAAAAGGAAGAGAAATGATGCATTTTAATTTGACTGAAAATTATTTATGTATCTCATATAAATTAATGAAATTCGCTCTTCTGTTTTGATCATGATAACACCTAGGGAGATGCATGTTTAACGTGTTGCCATTAGAAAAAAAAAAAACTGTTTTTATATAAAAAATCTTGATAAAAACATATAATCACGTTGTGAATAATTTTGAGTTTATCATTTTCTTGCTTGTTACATATAACAACCAAGTTTTTATTTTTGTAGTTGTATCGTATTGGGACTTCTCATGAAGAGACTACAAACATGTTACAAGTTTGTCATGTATTAAGTTTCTTACAATATAAATGAACTTCTGCCGATAAAGTTAAAAGGATAATAACATTGACTATTCATTTTTCAATTCATGTTCAATAGTGATATGGGAATAGAATTCTCGATTGTTTGTGAAGATAGAAGACGCTGAAAATATCTATCAAAAGCAAAGCTAAAATTTCCTTTGTATTACAATTAAACGCTTTGTAGGAAGTTCGACATTTTTTAGAAAGAATAGAGCCCATCGAATCCAAGAATTTTTGGACCTCCGGACCCGATAGAGTCTAGATACAATCCGATGGGTTCTATTGAAGAATGAATTGTCAACATTATTATCCTTTGAAAATGTTAACTTTATTCTTTTCAGCAAAGAAAGATATATACAGATTTGTAGAGAAAGACTTTCACTGTATGTATTATGATGCGGTATTTCGTACTGCTGAAAAGTTAATAGGTGACTCTTGAAACTTTTGCTACGAAATCTTTCAAATTTAAATTGAAGCCTTATAGGTTTCGCAACCCCTGTCGAACTTAACTATGCATACAATATTAGATGAAGGAAAGTCATACTTTACTAATCTACATACTTCCTGTTTTGAGATTAAATATCACCGTGAAACTAAGAGTTGGCTTTTAATTATAATAAATTTATTGGTAAGAGACTTAACATATGAAATATCTTTGTCTTAAGACAAAAAGTTTTGCAAAGTTCTAAAGATTGATTAAAAATGATTGATTTTATAAGTTCTATATTGATTTAATTTTAATATTTTATTTTTAAAGGCATAGTCCATTTCGTCAACATAAAACAAAAGACAAACAAGAAATCGACAAAATGACCATGACAATGGTAAAAAAAAAATATTTTATTTGTTGATTTTTTTTATTTGAAATTTTTATTTAAAATAAAAGTCTATTGAATTACCTGAAACAATGTCAAATGAAATGCGCACATTATTAGAAGGATTACTTCAACGTGATGTTGATAAACGTCTTGGATGTATGGGCAGAATGTAAATTTATTTTGATTTGAGTGTTTTATATATATTTTTTTTTGAAATCTTTTATTTATTAATTTGTTGTAGAGCTGAAGAAGTAAAAGAACATCCATTTTTTAAAGATATTGATTGGAAACAAGTTTATTTATTAAAATTAACTCCACCATTAATTCCACCACGTGGTGAAGTTAATGCAGCTGATGCTTTTGATATTGGAAATTTTGATGAAGATGATACAAAAGGAATTAAAGTATATAGAAATCATATTATTATTATTATTATTCTATTGAAATTTCTTTTACTTATTTTTTTTAGTTAACTGAAGCTGATCAAGAATTATATAAAAATTTTCCAATTATTATATCGGAACGATGGCAACAAGAAATAACTGGTTTAATCAAAATGAAAATTTTGTTTTATTTTTGTTTATTTTTGCTTTTTTTTAGAAACAGTATTTGATACGGTTAATCAAGAAACCGATAAAATTGAATTAAAACGACGAGGAAAATTTAAACAAAATAATATTTATGATGATGAAAAAACATCGGATTTAATTTTACAAGGACAATTAAAAAAGAATACAGGAACATTTGGATTTTCATGGCAAATACGTTATACAAAATTATATCCAAATCGTTTAGAATTACATTATGAAAAGGGTGATAAAGATCCAGAGGTAAACATTTTTATCATGACTTTTTTTTTGTTGTCTGAAAATAAATTTATCTATAAATAACCATAACGAAAGAACTAAAAGCTTTTGCAAGACATAAATCATGTCAATCGATTCATCCGAACATGAAAGAAATAGTATCTTTAATTAACCTTGTATTTTTCTAGTACTAATCGGGTATAATTAGTGTTGAGTCAGTCACGAGAATAGTTTATACACGTACTAATTGTGGTTAAATTTAGATCAAGTCATTTCATGGTCAGAATACACAATAGTCCATAAATGAACAATTAGTTTTAAATAACATAAAAATCAAATTTATTGTTAATTTACTTTTTTTTTTTCGAAGTTATTTTATCTTTATAAAACTGAAAAGCTACTTATTATAAATTATCTTGTTGAAAAATGAATCATTTCGGAGGAGGATATATAATTCAACACTTATAAGGATGGCTATTTTTGGATTGAAATCATGTCTTTCATTTCCGGAAATTAGTCTTCATTTTTCTTTATAATATCATTCATCGCAACGTCCTGACAAACTATATCGAGGACGTCCTTTTTTGAACGACTCTTTCAATGCAATCTATAATAATATAGAAACTTAGTTCTGATTTCGATTTGAAATTTACTCATTTCTAACCTTGAAGTCTCACCCAGATGGAAGAAAAACTGGAGGTTTTGTATCTGGAATGTTTTTTGACTGGATATCAGTTCTAAAAAACTTTTTTAGCATGAAGATCGTGTATATTGACAAAAAAAAATCATTTTTTTATTTTATTCATTATGATTAGGCTAAAAATGACTCAATGGAAGATAAAGGATTAACAGTGATAGTTATTTCTTGTTACATTCTTTCTATTTGTTATAGAAATTCTTCTTTCCAAAAAAAAAATTCATCATTGATTTACCAAAAACCCTTCAAAAAAAAACCAACAACAAACAAATTATCGAAATACTAAATCTTGATTAGTTGATAGTAGACTATCAATCATACATATTTTTATAAACAAGAATTTCTTAATATTCGATTTGTAAAAGAAAAAGAATGTAAAGATTATCAATAAATGTTAAGAACAATGAATAACTATATGATAATACATAAACCATATATTCATAAAAATGTTTTATTATGACAACAAATCATAAATAATTTTCTTTCTAATGTATTCTTCTCAGTTCATTATTGAATATTTACTGAATACTCTTTTGTACTAAAACAAAACAATAAAAAAGAAGTCAATCAACATAGCTCAATGATTACGTTATATAGTATTATTACATAATTATTGTGTTGAAAACTTGATGCCCGTCAGTTATGTGATAAGTTACAGCAAATGTTGAATATTTATGTAATTTGTATCATTCTATCAGCAACATACTATATTGACCATTGAATTAACCCTTTAGGGAGGGTGGTACATATGTTCTACCATCTATTTTTCAATAAAGAATATATTTGTTCGCCATTTAATTGTTATGACTTGTAAGATAATAGGTCGTCCCATGTGTCATCTCATGCATATCATTTCTTTCTGTTAATATGTATTGATATCATGATATTTCCCTCGTGTCTTTTGATATATTATCATAAGTTTTTCTTCTTTTATGTAATCATTTTGAATCGAATTGATTGACGAACTACTTTTCAATTAGAAAAAAAAAATAAACATGTGTTTCTCTTACATGAAAAAAAAAAATTCTATTGAAAGTAATTATGAATTACTGTTATTTAAAGGTTTATACAATGGAACGTATTGAACATATTGATTCAAAAGAATGTAAAGGACAAAAAACAATAACCATACATTTAAAAGGTGGTAATGAGCCACGTTTAATGCTTTCACCACAGGTAAGAATTTTATTTTCTATTTTAATATTCGCATTAAATATTTTTGTATTGTTTTTTACATTAATCTTTGTTATTTGTCATTTGTTTATGTTAATGTGCATGTTTGTGGGCTTCTTGTCATCTATCAATATTGTATTTTATACATATATATATTGCATTTTGTTTCATTTATTCATATTATTATTATTATTATTACTATTTTTTTTTGTATATTGTTATGTTTTGGAAAGAATATTTCTAAATCTTAAATAGGATGAAGTATCATGGATTGAATGGAAAAAAGCCTTATATGATACACTTGTTGCATCACAACAACATTTAACTGTTAGTGAAAAAGCATCAAAAATTTATGGCGCTGATGTAAGTAGTACAACATCTTCAAATATGAATGCAAATCAACAATTAACTTCTGGTAATTATCATAATTTATCATCATCAACCGGTGGTGCTCTTGGTGGGATAAAAAAAACTAATATAACTGCGGGCGCACTTCAAGATTAAATATATTACGTATATATATACATATTTAAAATTTAACTAAGGAAATTTTTTTTTTTCTCATTCACAAACAGTGATTTATTGTATTTTTTTTCTTCTTTTCTTTATCTCTTTTATTTGTTTCTAGTCGTATACGATCATTGCGTTAATTACTGATGTTGCTTTGGTTGTCATTTTGAAACTCTTCTTCTTCTTCTTCTTTTTTTCGTTTCTCCTAATTTTTTTCCTATTGATTTTGTTTTTTTTTCATTTCACCTCTCGCTTTCATCATTCTTCGAAAACAAAAAAAAAAAAAACGAACATTTCTAGGATATCGTCTCATATCATGAATGGCGTATGGCATTGAATGATGCTTTGAATAAATCAACGTTGACACTTCATTCATCGAAAAAAATTGGACGATTATTAATGCCGACCGATAATGGACTAGCTGCATCAACAACACAACCCAATGCCACTCAAAAATAATTAGAAAAAAACAAAACTTTAATCTCTCTTGTTCGATTTCATTTTCTAGTCATCTCTTGCCTTTTTGTTTTTTTTATTTAATATCGGTGGTATGATCTGACAACAAAGCTATTCATTTCTTGTATCTTCGACTGACTTTTTTTTTTATGTATATGTATATATATATATATATTATTTAAAAAGAGGAAACAGTGAAAAACCGAAATCTGTCTATGTTTGTCGCACAAATATACAAAGCTTCTTTTCTTTCATTGTCGTACTTCTTGTTGATGTTGTTGGTTATTTTTCATTTTTTTTCTCTTTATTCCTTCTCTCTTTCTCTTTCTTTTTTGCTATTTGGCCACAAAATAATGTCAATGAAACAATAAATTCATATGGAAATATTTTTTGCTTTCATTATTAATTCAAATTATTCTATTTCTCTTGCAGATTAAATTTTTGTTTTTTCTTTCATTGTTAAACTTTTTTTTTTTGTTTCTCCGTCCATCAATGATATCTTGTAATTAACTCTATGCAATGCAATTTCATATTATTATCGGTAAGATTTTATTATTAGAATCAAGAGAATATCTTTACAGTTGCAATGTAGCGTAAAATTGTTTTTTCTTTTTGACAATCGTTGAAAGATAATTGACAGCGAGCTGAAGATAACGTAGAAGTTTGAAATAGTTTTGTTGACAACGACAACATGTATCAGAAAGAAATTTCCTAGGTAGACATGAGTGGGATCAGTGATTTTTGATTCTAGTCACAGTCATGATGACCTGAAACTAAAATTGATTCCGTGCATCTCTACTTCAGAGTGATAAAATATGTCGAAAAGGGCAATTGCTATACCAGAAATGTCATAGATCTGTTTTTGTAACTCGAATAATAGCTTCTGTTTTTAGCATTGATGATTTTTATTAAAAAAAAACGTGATAACCGATTTTTAATAAGGAAATTTTTACAAACTATCGAAAGAAAAATTCAAAATCTTTAATTTTTAACATTATTTAGTTAATTTTATGGTACTACCATGGTTTATAATCGGTCAGAAATCATATTCTTATTCTGGTCAATATGGTTTTCCTATTAATAATCAGTTTGAAAAATCAACAAATGCTCAAATTTCTTCATCTAATTCAAATATGATGAATTATTTAGTTGGAAATTTCTCTGAATCATATTCATTTCAAGTTGCACCATCATCAATACAAGTAGCTCAGTTAAGTTTAAATGGTTATCCATTGTATATAAAGGATATTGGATTTTCAAATGATACAAGATTTCGTTATGATGAACAAAAGAATCATTTAACAATACTTTCACTTGATCTAACGACAGTTGGTTCTTATTTAGCTCTTGCTGGTAATTGGAAAGAATTTACGAATATAGTTAGCGCTATTAATGGTAAATTAAACGAAAACTGTAAATTTACATTAAAAATTTTTCTTTTTTTCTGAATTTAGTTTCATCACTTGAAATTCATAATTTTCATGTTAGTGAAGATAATAATGGTTCATCACGTGTATCTTGTTCTGTATCAATAATACGTTCAACATTTCAATTATCTCAACCATCTTTACAATCAAATAATCAAATATTAAAATCAACAGGAATAGAAAATTTACCACGTCTGGATTTATTTATTTCAACTCGAACATTATCATCTGTGTTATTAAATAAGAAAATCTATAATGATACATTAAATGAACAATATTTTACACGTCGAATTACTCTAGAACATCCATTAACACGTGCTGATCATAATGGAACAATTCAATGTCAAGTTGAATCAAATAATAATATCGATATTTATTTAATAAAAAATGTTTCCATTGATATTGAATGTAAGTTTATGATCTGTATTTTTGTGAAGCACGATCTAATAGGAGTGTTCAAGTATATAGGATAGTAATTTACACTTTGCACAGATCAGAACAGATGGAGTCGACAGGAATGTTAGTAAGAAACTGCGGATTCGCAAAGATGTGAACTCGGACCTGGCAGGGTGCAGACTCGAGTTTTTTTCCACTGATATCTACCATCCTGTAGACATGAACAAGTGAACGATTAATATTTTAGCTATTTATTAGCTACTCTTTAAGGAAACTGTGGATTCTTCCAGACTCGGACCTGGCCGGGTTCGAGTCCTGATCCAAAGTTTTTATTTTTGTCGGATCCGATTGCACGTTTTTATGGATCCGCTGCTCCCCAGATAAGAAATCCAGCAACAAGATATAATGGTACGTGGAGTTTATTTTTCTAAGAGTAGCGAATAAATAGTTTAAATCTTGATCCTTTACTTATTCATGTACACGAAAAGTGTCAGATATTGATGGGAAAATCTCAAGTTTGGCCTCGCTGGGCTCGGATCTGGTTCAGATCCATGTTTTTGTGGACTGGCAGCTCCCTGCTACTCTTAGAAAAAAAGTCAATGTGTTGTTCACTTTCCCATTAATCGATGCTTAAATGAATCAGCTATTCCAGATTGAACTAAGCAGAAAATTAAAGTTGCTTGTGCAGAATTTGCAGCGCTTGTCGGTTGGCCATTCAAACAAATAATAATATCGGTTTAAATAATCTTGCACAAAAAGTTTCTATTGATGGTCGATACTTGTCTATGGAGAGCGGTGGGTCAACATTTCTGTGGACCGAGATTCAGTGTAGAGAAAAGCTAAACTTCTTTGTTTGGGCCTACAGCTGCCTACATGTTAGAAATGGTTCATCATAGACAGATTAGTTGTACATAGTGGGCAACAACGTAGACTTTAGGTGAAAAAATGAAAGCGAGGTTTTTCGAGATTAGAATAATAACTTATATATTTTGATTAACGACCAGTTTTTTGTTAAAAACATTTGTCCCAGTTGCCAAATTCGTTGGAAAAGCTTAGTTGCAAAAAAGATCAAATTTCAGCACCTATAGAGAAAAACATCATTTTTTTAATGTGAAAAATTAAAATAATTGAATAATAAATCATATATGGTTTGAAAGTAGAACTTCTACTTTATCGATTTATAAAAAAAAACATTTACCTCTGAAAAGAGAATTATTCTTTTAACGCTAAGCGTCTTCAGTAATATTGGCCACCACTTTTTTTCCACTAATTCAATATCATCAAAGCTTTTAGAGAATGTGTTCCTATATCTAGAACATACACTTAGTTACCGCAAACATACACAAATGCTTCTAGATTGAGATACAGGTTTTCTAAAAATGTTAGTTTTTAAAGGTTATTCGCGATTTTCTTTGTCACAGAAGTACTGTGAGAGATAAATAGAGACGTATTTGAAATCAGCACGAACAACTACATCGAATAATGTATCACATTTGTTAATTATTAAAATAAAAAGTTTTTCACAAGAGTTTAGAGTAAGAGTCACCCTCAAGGATTTTCTATCAATCTTATTTTTGAGTATCTTTCTACGAAAAAAAAAACTCGTTTTTTTTTTAAATAAGTCATGTTCACACGTTCAATAGAAATTGCCCACCGTGCAATACTCGCTTCCCCACGTAGCAAAACCTGACAGACTGTATATGAATACTGTCTTGTTATAATATATGAACTACTTCCTTATTGCATTTCTAAAGAAGGATGATGAATAAATGTATCCCAAAATAGAATGAATAAAATAATCTCTCTGTGATTAGTAACAGCAGCTATATTGTGTTTTATATTTTAATCCCGTAGGGATTGCGCTAATGGGGTTTTTTTGTCAAAATGAGAAAAATTTTCTTCGATTTTTTGATTTAGATGGACCAAATTTAGAAACAGGTGCATTACCAAAAATTAATTTAGAAGGTGAAATATTAAAAATGATTGAAATGGAATGTCAAATTGAAGCTAATCCATATCCATCATATGTTTGGTATGAAATATTAAGTAATATATCAACAGGAATAATGTCAGATAATGATCAACATAATTCTTATGAACGATTAAGTTCAACTGAACATAGTGTTTTTGGTATAACAAGACGAATTCAAAGAATTTATCAAGATTCAGGACAATATACAATGCAATGTCAAGCACAATCAAGAGGAAAAACTGTTAAACAAGAATTTTTTATTTCTATTCATCGTAAGTTATGAGAATTGAATTTTTATTCATTTATTTATCAATTAAACGATGAATCTATAGTATTAAGTTTATAAGAACAAAGATGATAAGACATACATCAAGTAAATCAGTTATATTTCATAGACAATCACTGTGTTACTTTTTTTTATAATTAATCATTCAAAAATTTCATAAATGCTCTTTAATTCAATAGGATTTCGATCAAAGAATATTTTGATTTTTATATCTAATTGTAAACAATTGAATTTGATTACATGATGAATAGCCTTATGAAATCTAGATTTAAGAAATTAATACAGTTAACATTAAAAAAATCACGAAATATTTTTTTGAAATTAGACGAGCGTAGCCAATCGTACCTCGAAGAACAATAAAACTTTCATTCCGATAGGCGTCTATTTTCTTTATTATATTAGCGTAATAGAGGAAATATTTTCTTAGAACTCATGTAAAATAAAACAGCTACTAACACAATCCCTGTAGGATTAAAACATGGAACAAAATGTACCATCTGTTGCTAATCACAAAGAGATTGTTCTATGCAATATATTTTTAGACAAATTTATTCATCATGCTTTTATTTAATCCTCCAGAAATGCAGCAAGAAAAGAGTTCGTATATTATAATAAGATATTATTAATATATATATATCACAGTTGACATGTGTTTTGAAATACGCGAATAAATGTTTAAAAAATTTATAATAGGAATAATATTTTATAAACAAGGTGAACTAACTGATTTAGACAAGAATTCACAAAATAAATTCGTATTAAACATTATTAAAAAAAAAAATTTTAATGTTTTTCTTTTACTGTGTTATCAAAAAAATCCGATCCAAAATTTATCAACAGTGATTATAGTATTTAGACTACAAATTGAACTTTTTATTTCATTAGTACTTTACAACCATTCATTATGCTCTAATATTATAATTATAAGACATACATGTCATGTCATTCGCTATTATTTTTGAAAACCACCCACATCAGCTTCCTACTCGTCTGAATAACTAATTCAAAAAAGAAGCAATACTTTTTACAAAATAAATATAATCAACTTATTATTGTTCATATATAGAATAACAATTTAAACACATCTGTATTATCAAGTAAACTTCAAAATACAATGAAATCATATGAACAATAAACAAATCATTTTATTTGTACACTTTTATTACCGAATTACAAAACGTTATTCCAATCTGAACTAAATGCTAACCATACTTGCTGCATATACAGTGTGTCACAGTTTGTGACGTCGGAAGAAGGAAGGGGCGAAATTTCTATCTCATACTTTAACACTCCTTTTAGATCGTGTTTCATAAAAAGGATTTTATTTCAAGAAATGTGAGTTTCATAGAAAATAATTACAAAATTGTGCATATTAGTAGTCAATATTCACTTTTATTTGAAATTCAACTCTAACTACCTTTCCCCCCCCCCCCCTCCCACAGATGTTAGAATACCTGGGTCTTGTAAAAACTCTTGATTGAAATATTGCTGGATGATATTTGCTGTAGAATAAAAGTTAAAAAACAATAGAAGAGAAAATAATAGCTTCTTATGTTACAGATGGAACCGGCCGGACTGAAATCCATATCGACACTAGACTGGCGAATAGTTCTACTATTTCATTTGCGAATAGTAATATTTGATGTAATCAACTTTCAACAAACTTTCATTGCACATTCTCTATGAGATAATAGGGGCAAAAAAATAAATAAGATGCCCTGTTAATGACCGGTCTATCAACGATCGATCGATACCAATTTCAATGTTGGCTTATGTATGCATAACGGGAATATGGTTTCTTTGGAGAAAGATAAACGCTATTGTCAGCTAGAGCGAAAACAAGAGTAAAAGAGAGAAACGAATATTAAACTTCATTTGTATCAGCAGTTAATATACATTTAGTGAATATATAAAATATGGAAGGATAACATCGTACACTCATTTGTGACGATAAAGATTCAAGTGTCGAAATTACTTCGACCATTGATGAATGTGAAAATAAATTAGTATGTTTATCAATATATCATCAATTGAAATTATCAATATATCATCAATTTCATGAAAAATTCTTTCTAACTCATTTTTCTTTTTTAGTACCATCAACTATTGTGAAAACAAATTCTTATATTGATCGAGATCGACAAAGTATGTTTAATTAATATTATATTTCTTAAGAACATATATATATACAATAGTTTGCAAAAAAACTTGGAACAAATTTTTAGTCTATATTGACGCCTATTTCAACTACTTTCAAAAAAAATATTTCTTTATTTAATACATAGTAATATACAGTTTTACAATATGCAGCTCAATAGTTAACTCGTCTTCCCTTTTACTCAGTAACTAAGGAACATCTATTTTTCATGCTGTTAATCAAATTGATTATAACAGTTTTTTCAATTTTTTTTCCATTCTTCATCGATAAAAATTTTCACCTCATTAACATTTGCTGCTTTTCTTTTTCCAATCCGATGTTTCATAATGGTCCGCATATTTTCAAGCGAATTGAGATTCGGACTATTCAATAGCCAGTCTATAATAAGTGGAACATTAGCAACCAACCATCTTTTAGTTGTTAAAGATCGATGCTTGCGGTCGTTATCTTGTTGAACTCGACATTTATTATTAAATTGTCGTTTAGCATTGGAAATCAAGTTGTTTCCTTATATTTTGATGTAATAATCACTGCTCTAATATTTTGAAATGAATGAAAACCAACTGTTCCATGATAACTGGTAGAATCTCAAACACGAAATTTTTGTCGATTTTCAACCATTTGCTTGCTCGATGTTGTAGAGAATCTTGAGTTCGGAGCTTTTTCAACTGATAACTAATTGTAGACAATGGTATCTTCGTATCTCAGTGGATTTTTCTGACAGAACGAATTCCCATGTTCCAATAATATAATACAGAAATATAATGTGTTTTTAGTCTGTTTACCTTTACCATGTCAGGTTATAAATAAAGAGCGACAAAATAGAAATTAATCAAATATACAAATATTATTAGCAGATAGTCTAGTAAGTCTAAACCTACAATAACAGTAAAATAAATGCTCAAGGGAATCTAGAAAATATAAAATATTTATACTGTCAGTTTGTTCCAAGTTTTTTTGCAAACCACTGTATATATATATGATTATTTTCATAGCATCATATAAAACTCCAATGTTTATTGGAATAACTATTGGTTGTATTTTACTTTTACTTATTATTGCAATTATTATTGCTACAATTATGTTTTTAAAACGACGAAAAATGAATCCAAATGAAAAAAATTCAAGTACTATGTTTATTTATTTTTGTATATAATTTCAATTATTATTAATCGATTTTTTTTCTTTTATTTTAGTTGAAAAATTATCAGACGAGTAAGTTCATTTTTTTTTGTCATAATACAAAAAAACAAATCTTTCTTTTTAGTAAACAAGAAAAATCTCGTTGGGGTAGTTTACCTATTGATTATTCAAAATATAAACATGAATCATTAAAAACTGATTCATCATCAACATCACATTTAGTTGAATCGGTTGAAACAACTTCAATGCAAGTACCACCACCAGTACCTCCTCGTCCATCTCCATTGATAAGTACTCAATCATCTTATCGTCAAACTCCTTTAACATCAGTCTCACTTTCATATCGTCAAGCAAGTGCACTTCCTGGTTTTCGTCCATCAAATCCTACACGTTCGTATTCTTCTGAACATGATGATGCTGATGATATAAGTACAAGTATTAATGCAATGCCATTAACAATAAATCGTTCACGAGCAAATACACCACTTGGTTCACGTAGATCTCTTTCAGAATCAATACAATCATTAAGATCAAATCAACAAACAGGAATTTCATTACCTGTTAAAAAACGTTCACATGATTTACCACCAATTCTACCAAAACGTGAACAAAAAACACCATCACCAAATTCATTTCAAGCTAAAAATGATTATCAACATCATCATTATCACAATCCAACACAATTACGAGCACAACAACAAATAAAAACTGATAATACATCATCTGAAGAAGAAGAATTTGAACAACAACAAATGAATCAAATATCTGAAGATTCAGTGGTATGTAGATTTAATAAAAATAAGAAAATCATATTAAAAATTTATTATTATCAATTTCTTTTTTTTTTACTCTCACTTGGTAATAATATTTTTCTTTCAGTTTATTACAAAAAAAATAATATTTCGTGTGGTAAGTCAGACTCCTATCCACGAGAGGCACCACACCGAACTAATATTCGCTTTAGTTTATATTGAGCTCACAAGAAAGTATCGGTAAGATTAGAAAAAGACCAAAAAAGTTCGTACTTCGGGATCTTTGAAGCTGAGTTAGAATCATTTTATTGAGTTTTCGGCCCAGCTTTAGATATATGCCAAAAAAAGAAGAGAATTTCAGCATAAAATTTTTCTTGTAGATAGGTTGAATGATCCATAGAATATTCTATGAATTATTGGACCCAACGGTGTTTTCCCAATCTTGGACAATTTTCGTTTTTTTCCCAGTACAATTGAACAATTTTCTTTGCTTTTTTTTTATTCACCAAGTCTCACAACAAGAGTTCATACTCCCAATTTTGATGACCTTGGCACACTCCGGATTAGATCAATCTATGAGCAAAATTTCACGTCGAAATTCTCTATTTTTAATTTTTCAGTATGTATCTAAAATTGGATCAAAAATTCATCAAAACAGTGTTTTATTCAGCACGAAGAATCGAGGGCAGGATTGTCGATATTTTCTAGAGGTAGAGGTAGAAAGTATCTTCATTCTCGGAGTGCTAGAAGTAGTGATCGGGGAGGGAGGAGAACGTACGAAATCCACAACAAACGACCTGCTACCAGGCCACCCCTTACCAATCCTCTTTACCTCGCAACGATATTACTCTGCTTATTGTCATATCACTTTCTGCCAGAGGAAGGCAAATGGTATTTCAAAATCTGGTTGCTGTTCAAAGTTACCACGAAGCTGTAAAAATTGGCAGAAAATCGAACATTTTAGGGAAAATTTCCGCTGCCCTCCCCTAATCGAGAACACTGGTCGAGAGGGTGGTGCCCCTCCGATGACTAGATTTGCTCTCCCAGGTTTCGTGGTTACTATACTCCCAATCGTAAGTATTTGCCCTTCCGAAGTTTCACATTTCTCTTCTGGGAGAGAAAATTTGCATAAAATACTGTAGCAAAATGATCCTAACTCGATTCGAAAGGGGTATGCCAACAAACTCTTTTAGGCTTTTTCTAGTCTTACCGAAAGCTTCTAGTGGGTCAAATATGAGATCAAGCAGTGATAGGAATATACAGTTCTAGTAAATTGTTGACCGAAAACTCACATTAATGCTCACTGAATCGATGTTGATTGATTTACTTAATATATCCATACTGTACGAGTGTGTCAATACTTCAGTGAATGCTGATCCAGTATCTCAGTAGACTCACACTGTCAATATTTTCACTGAAACTACGCATCTCTAAACGACGGGCATTAGTTTGGATGGTTCTCTCATCAGCCATTCCTATAGATTTTGTTTTTCATGCATTTTGCTCTTGATTATATTTGATAAAATGATTGATTGATTGATTGATTGATTGATTAAATTCTATAATTGATAAACGATTTAAATTAATTTTATTTTTCTCATAGGCTACAGCTTCAACAACAGCATCATCGGGATATAATCAGGTAGATTTTCATCCAGAACAAGGACGTCGAATAATAACATCAGCAGTACCTCAACAAATGATTGTTAATCAACCAATAGGAAAACCTCGTGATGAAGTTCCACCATCATATCATCAAGTAACTAATACATCTTCTCCATCTCATGCTTATATTTATCAGGAACCAACTGAAGTTTAAGATATAATTTCAGTATTCTATCTATGGCAGATAATTATGTTCTTTTTTTCCATCGATCTACTGTGCAATGGCTTTTTTTTTCGATGAATGAATCTCTTTTGTTTTAGCAATTATGAAGCTTTGTTTGTTTGCTTTTTTTTGTATATATTATACACAGATTAATCAGATATAATGATCAATAATTTTGTGCGTGTGTACATTCCGCATTATTCACTCAATCTTCTCTACATGTTTTGTTTTTCTTTTGTTATGAATTATGATATTCTATAAGAAATTCTTGTTTTTTTTGTTTCTTTTTTGTAATCAAATTTCTATAAATAACAAGGCATATTTACATTAATTAAAATTTATATTAGTAAAAAAAACTTTTTTGCTCATTATTAATAAATAAATTCTTATTCGAATTAAATCGAAAAGGATTTCTAATTGATAAAATATTATTTTTCCATGAGAATATCATGAACAATAATTTGTTCATTGTGTAATTCTCTTGTATTATTATATTTGAATATAAATTAGTTATTTTTACTATGTGCAAAATATATTCAAAATTATTTTCTTTAATGCATTCGCAGCAATGTGATCCATCAATGGATCACGACATACACTGTTCCTCAAAAGTATTCAGTATATTGAATTTTGAACTCATTGTAGTTTCGTAAGCTAAAACTTTGCAGGAATATATTTCTTGATACATCCTACCCGTCGCGACAAATTGTAGTCCGAATGCTTTTATATTTTATGAAACCTAGAATTTCATCATCTCGATATTCGGATCTTTGTCTTTCGTAGGGACTATAGAATTTTCATCTGTTTTACTTATCAACATGTCGCTAGTCAATGAAGCTTTAAGAATGTAAAATATAAGTCAATTTTGTTGAGATCTGACAGAATGCCAATGATTTAAGTGATGACCTCACTTTTCTAGCAATCGGATGTTACACTTCTGAATAACTCAGCTTTTTAAGAAAATAGTATTTTAAGATCAATTTTTTGACCAGATACTTTGCAACTGCTATTCTATGTTTTCTGTAAGTTTTAGCAAATTAAGTTATTCTAGCAAAAAAATGGCGCACACTTATTCATACTAATCAGGATAAGACTCTCATAGCGTCATCTGACCATCAGTTCTATGTAAACATATTCAAGATTCATTGAATTTCGATGTTGTAACAGTATAATATTCACGTACATCATTTTTTTTGATCATTGATTAAAATCAATCGAATTCATTTGTCATACTCATGACTTAAGAATTCGAACTACAAGTTGTGTCAACGATCCAGATACATCAAGATAGATATTCCTGCAAAGTTTCAGACCAAAAGACACTAATGAGTCCAAGATTCAGTGTAGCGAATACATTTGATCGATGCTGTATACCGTGATCCACCGATGAATCACATTGCCGCGAATATATTAAAACTGACAGTAGACGTTTTTTTTTTCTTCTTGCTTCAGATGGATCCACTTCCATTAGGTCGTTGTAGTGTAAAAAATTCATCAGGAACTAAAATTCAATGTAGCCGATGGGCTATTCTTATTTGTTCACATTGTAATCAAGGAGTATGTTTAGAGCATCATGATATACATCAACATGAAATTCAAATACGAACAGATCAACTTAATAATCGAATAAATGATTTACGTCAAATATTGCATACATTAACATATCAACAAATGATTGATAATTTTCAAGAAAAAATAGATCAATGGTCTCAAATACGTAAAAATGAAATTGATTTAAAACATGCACAAATGTCAGTTCAATTATTAAATGAAATTAAACAAATAAATATTGATCAATTTCGTTTATTACAATTAAATAATATTGAACAATATATTGGACAACCATTAACAGATCTTCTTCATTTACCTAATAATATTCAAATGAAACATATTGAATCATTAGAACAACAACTTGAACAAATTCAACAAACAATTCAAGAAATATTTTCATGTCTTCAGATTACTAATGATGGGTAAAAATTTACTTTAATCAAATCAAATTTTACAATATTTTTCTTTTGTTTTTTTTTTGTTGTGAAACACGATTTATAAGAAGTGTTGAAGTATATAAGATAGAAATCTGCACATCTTCCGCCTTCCGCCGACCACAGACTATGACATACACGTTAGAAATGGCTCACTACAAACATCTTAGCAAAGACACATCCTAACACGACAGACATTGTTGATATACAATCTAAGACATAAGAGTTGTAACCGATTGAGAATTTTTAAATTGATCCGATCCGACGAATTTGTTAGATCATTATTAATCAGTTAATGGAAATAATTTCAAAAAAAGAAGTTCATTTTTCTTTTTGCACTCAGGCTTTTACAAATCTCCAGGAAGAAAAATCATGTCATAGCCGTTTATATCCGCTAGGTTTCTTAAAGACGAATATTTGATATTTCTATATATAGAGCGAGAAAGAAAAAAGAGTAATTTACCCATCTTCTTAAAAAAATGAAATATACTTCAATTAAAGAAAAATAACAGCATGGACAAAAATAAAACTGATAATTCTTGAAACAACAGTGTTTAATTATATTGATAAGAGTAGATAAACTTGTTCTCAATAAGTTTTATCGGTGAAAAAAAAAGAAATATCTAGAAAATATTTTCCAACCAATGAAGACCTACCGGCCTAACCATTTCAACCGGCTACAACTCTGTAATATATAAACTAGTTCCTTATTGCATTTGTGAGGTATTAAGTAAAAAGATGATGAAGAAATCTGTCTTAAAATATATGGAATAAAACAATTTCCCTATAATTAGCAACAGCAACTACATCACCTTTCACATTTTAATCTACATAGATTGCGCTAACAGCGTTAGTGTAGGTTTCTCTATTACAACAACCAAATCGGATGCCTGATACCACCGACTTACTGTAAATATTGTCACCTCAAATCAAAACTTATATATTGTGATTGATGAATTATTGAATTGTGTTCCTATTTCTATGATTACAATAATTGGAATCAAACTGTCTTTTTTTTTTTGTTATAGCCAATTAAAAATAGATCAATCGATAACATTAATCAATAATTATTCCACGTTATCATCACTTTATAAACATTCTCTAAATGATTGTCCAGGTGCAATGGCAGGTTCACCTCTTCATCAAGATTATTTACTTGTTTTTCAATCTAAACCATATTTTTCTCTTGTATTCATCGAAGATAATAAACATATAACTCGAATTCCAATTGATTGTTTTGTTAATGATATATGTTGGTCTCAAACAACACAAGTTTTTCTTATTACTACTGAATATTATCTTTATGAATTTTATCCATTAAATAATCGTCTATCAGAACCATATGGAAATTCTAAATCTAATCGAACATTATGGACTTCAGCATGTAATTCAACAGATTTATATATAATACATAAACCTGATATGATCATGTATCAGAGAGATATTAAAAAACCATTTGAAAAAAAAAGAGAATGGCAAAAGAATGATATTATGTGTGAAGAAGGTGATCAATTTATTGGTTCTATACGTATTGATGAACAAAGACAAATTTGTAATTAATCAACATGTTTCTAATTGAATATCAAGGAAAGCTTTGTTATGTTTTTTCCTGTTTTAGTGGCATTATCAATCAAACAATGTGATAATCGATGGCGTGTTGATTTTTTTTTAATAGTTTCTATGCAACGTTTGTACTGTGGATCATCATTCGGTATACCAACTGAAATACATCCATGTTATTGTAAATGATTAATTTATTAAAAATGATTTTATTTATATTTGAATTCTTTTAGGTATGATAACACCATTACTTAATCATCATAATCAATGGTTAGTACAATATTGTACTAGTGAAAAATGTCAATGTGTAATACTTAATGAAAAAGCTCAAGTTATTAATCAAATTGATCGTAATGGATTTAATATTACACTTATTGGTCGAGATAAAATAGCATTTTTAGATCATAATGGTATTGAAATTTATCGAAGATAAATTTTAGTCAGATATATTCTTTTTTATGATATTAGATATTTGCTTTTTATTGAAAATAAACGATTATGAAAAAAGAAAAAGAAAACATTTTAACAAAGTTCAATTTCCTCATGTTGTTGTTTAAGTTCTTCAATTTGCTCTTTAACATGAGTTAAACCTTTTTGAATCCAATCAGCAAATGTTCCAATTAATGTCCATTTGGGTATATTATGAATAGCTAAATAAATTCTACCTGATCGAATACTTAATAAATATTGTTCAGCATAATCATCTAAACCTTGTCCAACGATTAATAATTCACAAGGAAGAGATTGAAATGTTTCATTATTAGCTAATTTATTAACATTTTCTTGTTTTGAAGTTTTTTCAAAATCTTTTAAATAAACATTTAAATGTTCTCGAGCATCTTCATATAAATTTTTATCAACACAAGCATTATCTTTATTTGCAAGACATTGAAATAAATCTTCCGGAAATTCATAATTATCTTTTTCATATGGTTTCCATTCTGAAATTGGTAAAAGATCAGTTGTTGGTAATTGATAACCTAATCCATAATCAATATGTTTTCGTCCATTATGAACTTTAATAACGGCTCGAATTTCTTTAGGTAAAGTAATTTTTAATTTTGATTCAATTTCTTTAATATATTCTTCATTGACACCAGTTTGATTTTTATTTTGAAATTTTGGTAAATGTTCTAAGTTTTTATTTAATTCATTCCATTGTTCTGTAACATGTTTAATTAGATGATCTTCATTATGATTAGTATTTGTATCTGTATGAGTTGATGAAGCCATTTTTGAAGTTATCAAAATGGTACAGTACAATACAGAATAGAAGAGAAAGACAATTTTCGTAGTTGAATTATTAAACCTATAAGAAATGTGTACAGAGGTCACTATCAACAATTATTTCATGGTTATCATGTTTTATATTGACCTCTGAACGGTAGTTTTTCAAAGTATAAGATTTTGTATAGAATTTAATTGTTCTAAAATATAGAATGTTGTTTACTTATTGATGATCATGGAATCTTCGATTTAAATAACTCGATCGCGTGCTATTGTTTCTTCGAAGGATCATGAGAGTAGTGTAGAACTGATAATTACTAAAATACAATGATTATTGTATTTGTTTAATATAGAAAACAAATAGTGTTTCAAATACTATTATTCAGACAAATGATAAAATGTTTCTTTGCAATCTTCAATAAATTGAATGAAAAATTATTTATAGTTTCCAGTAAAATGTAGAAAATGCACAGTTTTGTTGTGATTTGGAAGTTATATTTGATCTGTAGAAACAGCACATAGTTGTCTTGGGATTAAACGCATTTGCAAAAGTGTTATTATAAGAGATACTACTTATGATTTACTGAATATTACATTGATTATGTTGTATTGCATGTTTTCATATTTTATTTGCCTTTATGAATATTCGTGTAATATTGAACAGCTGTTCGAATTGATCTGACACTGTTATTTCAAGATTTCCGAAGGTCGACTGCTTGGTTACATATAGAATTTCAGAAATATTGAGATAGTATTGTTAGAACAGTTCGAATTTAAAACCAAATATCACCATTCGACTTATCATGATGAATTTGTCTTGCTTAGCCGCCTTTTCGGATAATCACAGGTCAACTGGCTTAAATCGGAGGTCTTAGAAAAAGATTTGTAACTCTTGAATGTAACAAGCTAGGAAAGTTAGTCTTGTGTAGATCGAAAGAGATAAGTTTTCTTCATCAATTGGTTTTATTGTAACTCTAAATTGAAGGACAAATGGCTTTAGAATATCGTTTTCAAAAATCTCCACCAAGAACTTGTTTGACCAAGTGTTGACCAATCAAACTTCGATATGTTTCGATCATCTTTAGTCTTCTTTCTTGAATGATGAAAACTGAGGATCTCTATGATGTTTCTATCGAAAGCTACTCAAAGAAACATTGACCAACTTTATATTTTGAGATAGATAATAGTTATTATGAAGTTTACTCTTAAAAAAAATTACAATCTCGTACTTTTTAATAGTCATCAAATAACATTTGTCATTACTTTCATGTGCATGGAAAATACTCAAACAATTCAAAGCTCAGCAAGGAACGTCCATGAACATAAACTCAGTGGAAGCTTTTCATAGCTCATAAAGACCTACTTATGGGGAAAAAATATCAACTCAATAGGATATGGACATCTGGCAAATATTCTCTTGTGGATGTGATCGTTAACACAGATTGCTATAATAAGCAATTTAATGTGAAACTAAACTAATTATCATACGTATATTTCAATCACGAGTACATTGTTATAAACAATTCTTTATCTGATTGACTCACCTACAATTTTTTTAAGGACATATGAAAAAACATAAAGATCAGTTTTTGAATCAAATATAAAATTTAAAAATTAACTAGCTAAAGTTGTCAAAATCTTTCTGACTCATTAATTTTTGTTTTGTTTGAGTCAATAGATAAAAATCCTACAGAGAAAAAAATGATATTAAGTATGAGATATACTCTTATCTCTCTATGATGATTTATCATCTCTTAGCATCAGAAACTAGGAAAAAGATAAAATTCAGTTTTGTGAAATAATAAAGTAATATTGTCTTCAAAATATCATGTTTGGCCGATGGATTAATTGTGTACTTTCTATTATCATTCTACTTCTTTTTATATCTACAAATGTATATGGTATGATATGCAGCAACTATCGTGTGTATATTAGATATTGTAATTCAAATAAATCTTATATATATATATATTTTTTTCTTAATGTAGAAAGATTGTGCACTGACAATCGTTATACTTGGTGCTGTCGACGTCAGTAAAATTCATTACAAAAATACATCATTTTTATTTCTATGCTTGTTTTCTGATAGAAAATGAATTCTGTGGAAATTATTCTATTCAATGTTCTTCTGATCAAACAATAGAAAAATCTATTTCAGCATCTTCATCAAATTTGTCACCGGCTATTATCGCTATTATAGTCGTTTTTTCAATTATTTGTTTAATTATATGTGTATGCTGTTGTTTTTCTTTAAATCAACAACAGCAACAACGTTCACATCTTTCTATTAGGACTCCGATTATTCAAAGAAGAGTATATCCATATCAACAAGGACCACCACGAAATATTCATATTCCACGAGGTTACGATCGCAATAATCCATTATCATGTCCACGAAGTCCTGATCTGTACGACGAGCCACCACCATCATATGAAGCTGCAATTGCTAATTCTTCATCCAAATATCGATCGACATCATCATCGTCACAACCTGTAACAACAAGTGTTGAATCAACTAATTAACGCCTTTAATTTGAGTCGTTTGAAATCATTTAATCAAAATAAAGATGCAAAAATAATAATTAATAATTGACGTAAAAATATTCAAAAACAATTCATTTAATTAATAATTTGTAAAAATATGAATATTTTGTTTTATAAGAAAGCTTATCATATTATTATATGCGGATTTTGAAAGTCTTATATTATTTTCAAAAAGTTTTTTGTTTCAAATTATACCTGAATCTTATTTTGAGTGTCTCACATGAAAGTTATTTGAGATGTGTTCGGATTTCGTGAGTTTTGACCTCATGAAACTCACAGAGCTTTTGAAGCCCACAGCACTCAAGAAATTCATGGGAGGGTATGCGGAGTTGTGAGCGTAGGCGTGAATTTCAGTTCTCTCTACACCCACACTCAGTAGGGTACAACAAAAAAATTGTCGTTAAATTTTTCATAATTCTTGCTATTGAATGCGCTAAAGATTGAAACTTTTTTAATTAATAAATGACACATGCACTGTAGTCTACAAGTACAGCTATTAATAAAAAGATTTGTTCTTGCTTCGATTAACTAAGAGCGATAAACCTGACTTACTTGCAAGTCGTCAAAAAACTTAAATTTTAGATGCTAATTCTATACCATTCTCTATTCAGAAATCTCTTCAATTCATCAAGATTTCAGAGATTTTCCCTATAGACAATTTGCTCGATCATGAGTCACAAGTTTTCAAGTAATCTGAAGTTCGTGCCGTTAAATTTTCAGATAGTCGTTTCTTGCCAATGTGGTTCGAAAATTGTCCTACTAACCCTGATGCTCTACAGTGCTTTACTCTTCGATCATGGAAATTGTATATTAGATGGAACGAATAGAAGTCTTTTTCACTGTAATAGTTTCGGATAGCATTATGATGATCATTGCTCCAGTAGTGTAAGATGACTGAATGATTCGCTGATAGGTGGTAGTATTATTTGAATAATGTGTCATTTTTATGAAGCTCAACAATACTTTTCAAGACGCGTCAGTCTTGCTGAATGCACAGAACTACCTTCTATTATTTAGAAATAGTTCCAAGGTGTTCACTTGAGAAATTTAAGAAACAGAGTTCGATGAAATTTGTATGTAAAACGGCAATTTTTCTGTAGCATCTTATTGCACACTTCAATCATGGTTATATGATCATAAGTGATTCTTACATAATTTACTCGTGTTCTTTAAATTTCTCTTCTTTTCTTTTTAAAAGGCGAAAAAATAAAAAGAGAACTTTTGAAATCGTTGAATATAAAACTTACACATTAACTACCTACCGATATATGAGATACCGTCAAAAGTCCTGAATCACTTTCTTTTCCCTCCGAGTAAATATTATATTCATAGTCAAAATATTACAAAGTAATAAGAGAGTAAAAATGTGATGTGTTCTTATCAGTCTATAACAAGTCATCATCTTTCAGCCATATTTAAGTAAGAGAACGATAAAATTCAGTTTTGTCAAACCATTATATAAAGTAATATCATCTTCAAAATATCATGTTTAATCAATGGACTAATTGCATACTTTCTATCATCATTCTATTTTTCTTCATATGTGCAAATGTATATGGTATTACGTGTAACTACTATGGTATGTATGTTAGAAATCGTAATTCAAATAAATCTTATATATATATATATATATATAGTGACGGACAAAAGTTTAGAGCAGTTGTACCTTTTAGTTTTCTTCTCGGTGATAATAATTAGCAAGAATTCGAAAAAAACATATGAGTAGCTAATATATTTTTCTATCAGGATTTGTGAAACTAAAAACTCCAATAAAACTCCATGGATGAGGATGTCTGAAAAATCAAGATCCTTCAAAATCAGTTTTTGGGCATCTATTTGAAGCTTTTTGGAAATAATTTTATTTGATACAGCAAAATGCTATGTCTCGCTTCAGTTCATCGAACTGCATTCAATTTTTAGAAAGTTCCAAAAAGCATCTAATACGGCGAATTCATTGAACTTTTTCGTAAAAACAAACGAAGAATTAGCCTTAGATCTTCTGTAAATTGAATGTTCTTTGATGAAGCAAGGTCATGAAGAGAGCCGAGACAGCTCATTTTGTTCGATCAAATAAAACTATTTCTAAAAAGCTTCAAATGGATGCCAAAAAACTGACTGGTCTTGTAGAGTCTTGATTTTCCAGATATTCTCATTCATACAGTTTTATTGGAGTTTTTAGGTTCACAAATCCTGATAGAGAATCCTTTTAGCTACTCAAATATTTTCCAGATTCTTTCTAGCTATTACCATTGAGAAGAAAATTTAAAAATACCACTGTTCTTCACTTATATCCGTCACTATACATTGTTAATATAGAAAGATTGTGCTTTGACTACTATCGTTTTACTTGGTGCTGTTTAAGTGAGTAAAACTTATTAGAAAATACAAAATCTTTATTTCTATACTTGTTTTTTGATAGGAAATGAACCCTGCGGAACTTATTCCATACAATGCTCTTCTGATCGAACAACAAAAAAACCTTTTTCAACATATTCATCCACTATGCCAACATCTCTTATCGTTCTTCTAATCGTCATGTTGATCTTTTTCATTGGTTTATGTTTGAGCTGTTGCATTTCTTCCAAGCGAAAACAGCAACAACGTACACGTGCTTCTATTCCGACTCGGAATAGACCGAGAATAATACATCAACATCAACAACAGCCATCACAAACCGTTCGTATTCCCCCAGCTTATAATATCAATACTGCACCAGCTCCTAGTATACACGAAGAATCGCCACCATCATTTGCACGAATTCCTAGTCTTTACGAAGAACCACCCCCATCATATGAAGTTGCAATTGCTGGTCTTTCACTCAAATATCAATCAGAACAACCACCACCACCACCTGTAACAGCAAGTGTTGAAATTGAGAGTACACGGCTTTAATTTAAGCCGTTTGAAATTATTTAATTAAAATATACATAAAGAAATACGGCGTTAAGAATTGACAAAAAATATTTTGTTCTATTGATAATTATGGTTATTTATTTAATATTTTTTTTTTATTATTTAATAAGTATGAAATACTTATTTGGTTCTTAAGGAAGTTTTTCATTCCGTTTTTATTGTTAATGCAACACAAAAACATCATTTTAAAATATTCAAGTTTTATATTCATATCTGATCAATGACAGAGAACAGTAACTTGTTTTCTGCATTTCGTCAATATTTTTGAACAAAAATAATAGAAGTATACTATAAATATCTTCTGATATAAGAAGTTAGTATTCAATAAAAGTAATTATTCCATTGACGCAGTATATTGTGAGAACATGCAATCGCTTAAAATAATCACAATGTATAGTACTTCTCATTTATGACATTGAACCAGAGGTGGTCCGACCGGGGAAGTATCAGGAGTGTGACACCTCCTCCGATAATAGAAAATTTTTGTTGTTTTTACCAATTAAAAGCTCGGGAAAACAAACATGAAGTAGGGATTTGTTAACTATTTTCCAAAAAATATTGGATTAAATAAGCTCTTATCGAACAAGATACAAAGTGAAATCAAAATATTTTCGCTTCGCGAAAAAGTAACAACCATACAGTTATAATCGATCTAAGAATTCTGATATATCGTTTCAGCAATGTGTTATGATTTTTTTACGTCTAAAGAGCTTCGTTTTTTGAACAGTCGTCACGAACGTGGCCGTCTTTGATGGCAAAAAATTTTTAACAAACATCATACATTACATTTAACGACGGTTTCGTTTTTGAAAAGCAACAACACAAGCATGATTTTCATCAACCGATAAAGAATTGCCGCTTCGGTAGATAATATCAATTGCATAAGCGTAAACAGATGTGAAAGACTTAAAACTTAATTCTAGAAAGTTTTGATTAATCCGTATATTCCTCTTTTGCTTATCCACTTTTCTATCGTTATACCTTTGTGTGTGTCTCTCTTCTTATTAATATATGCTTCTTTTACGCAATAATATTTATTGAACTCTATTGCCTATGCAGAAAAAACACAGAGCAAATAACTAGAAATAATTTTTTTTAAAATTACACACTACCTCAGTCAAGAATGTTTTACACCTTCCAAAGTTTCAAAGGTCGAGTCACCACTGCATTGAACACTTATATTACAACTATAACTAAGTTTATATCAACGAAAGAAAACTTCGTATTCGATTGTAGTTGTCTTATTACTCAATTTTAATTTTATGGAATATCTTTTATTTTCATCTGTAATAATCAATAACATAAGTCAACATAGCAGCAGATCCATATTTTCATAGCAATCTATTCCAGAGTTCCAATTTGTGTTCCAAGTACAACTCGACGAGTTCTATTCAACGGTATCATTACATTTTCTGTCGCCCAAAGCATGTCCCAACAAGGGTCTAGCTAGTGATTTATCGTAACACAACTAGGCAACCACAGCCTACACAAAGCCACGCCATTGTATAGGAGCAAAAACAGTATTTTAGTATTTGCTTTGGTATGGTTCATGCTATGAAAAAATCTAATAGTAATATTGGATGGAGTTCATCAAGTTATACTTGGAACGAGAATAGGAACACTGTGACAGGTTCTTAATAGAAACACAAACGAGTAAGAAAACCTCGATTCGGTTCGTAACGGAAAAAAAGATAATTCCTTCATTGTCATAAGTAAAATATATCTACATTCCGCATAGAATTTCACTGAAGTTTTCGCGTATTTATATGCTAAATCTATCACTTTAAAGAGAGTTGCTAGCTTCAAAGCGATTCTAAAGTACAAATCCGAACTTGCATATTATAAAAAGAAATTATTTTTTTTTTCCTTATCGGCTGGCGAAAGTAATAGGTAGTTCATATTCTTGGTTGGATTAATTATGTAGTCTTTGAATTAGAAAACCTCGATATTTAGTTTTCAGTCAAGTTTTTTAAGATCAATCATCATCCCGATTAGGAAACCAGAGTATGTAGAAGAATAATAAATCATAAAATCAAAACATCAACAACTCTAAATACTGCAGGGTGCGTAAAAATATTTTTCGAGGGAAGGGACAACACTATGACTCCAAATAACATCAACAACAAGTTTTATACTAAATTAAAGCATGTCAAAAATGAGATTCATCAATACTAAATAGTGACAGTTATGGCAACTATCTAATGTCGAATTCAAGAAGTTTATAAAATTTTACAACGTATCAGCAGAGAAGAATTCCTTTCAGGAGATTGTTCCAACCAGATCTCATATAAAATGATAAATATCAGAAAGTACTGAATACCTGATCTGGGAAATTTTGGAAAAATACTCAAACATGAAGCTGAAGAAAATGGCTATCGGAAACGGAACACAATCATTTTGATGAAGAAACTCTTTAAAAAAAAACATTTTATATGTTTTGGCAAACATGGAAACAAATATTGATCTACTTGAAATTATTTTACATTCGTATCCGTTTCATCTTCGTACTGTAAAAACTATAATGATTGTCGTATTGATTATTGATTATATTCATCAAATCTTAAAAAACACATAAACCTTTTTGATATTCTTCATTTCAAATAATATTTAGTTTGAACTACGTCATGAAAGAAATTTTTCTCTGCTGATATGCTGTAAAATTTTTGGTATCTCTTGAATTCGACATTAAAAAGTTGCCATAACCGTCACTATTTAGTATTGATGAATGCCAATTTCGGCTTGCCTTAATTTGTTATAACATTAGTTGTTGATGTTATTTGAAGTCACAGCGCAATCCTCATAGAAAAACATTTTTACGCATCCTGTAGATTAAACTAGAAAGCTTTACTAGGTACGTGGAAAGAGAAATAGTCATGAAAACAGTTGCACTTGTATCTATTCCCTCAAAAATTATCAATCCTAGAATAAATCAATAGAAACTGACGTTTTTAATAGAAAGACAAGTAATAGTTGAACTAGTAGATTTCTCATACAAAGAAATCGATATAATTAGCGAAAGTGCAAGATACAGAGAACATGAACTCTATAGTGGGGTATATTTTATTGCTAGTATTTGAGAGTTCATGAAGATATTGCTGTTGAGTCGAATAAAGACAATTACATTCAATTCGCCTGAGCCAAATCGAACCAAATTACTTTTGCTTGAATTCGGTGCTGACTTTGCCTGTGTTAATCAAAATCATTTAATAAAATAGAAAGTTTTTCTTTACTCTGTGGTGGCATTACAGTTAACATTCCGGAAGAAAATCATAGTTCGATTTTTGAAATTCAATGTCACATGATAAAAAAAACCTATTTACGGTTATATTGTATAGTGTATGGAGAATAGTCTTAATCCATACAGTACATAATGTTTCGTTAATATTACACAAAAATTTTATCAACAATTCATTTGTCTGTATTTTTTGTGTCAATGTTCGCTTATTGCTTTCTTCTAAGTAAGTATTTCATTGAATTAAAATATTCTGTATTAAATTGATTTCATTCACATATGTGGAAGAACTCACAACATCAAAGCATATTTAAGAAATTTCATGCTGCAAAAAAAGCAATTTCTTTTGTAATGAATGACGATATTTTCTCCTGTATGTTTACAATAATTTAAAAATGATTATTGTATGCAAGTATCAAAAGTAATCGACTCAAAAAAGACATCGATTAATAATACTTAAATAAATCTAACATTGTTTATTATCTTACTTTATTTTATTAAGCTATCAAAATAACACAACAATTTTAATTAGAAGCAAACAACAATGAAAAAAAAATTGAATACTTCATTCTGTTTAAAGGTAGGCAATAATTGATTGATTGATGCTTTGCTTCAAAAAAAAAGAGAACGATTTGTCAAATTCGAAAAAACGAAGAATATAACTTACCAACAAAAGAAATTTTTAGATAATGCAAACCAAGGTTTTAATGTCGAAAAGGAGATCGCTGAAAAAATATATCCAATATGAGACAAAATTAAATTCATTAAAAAAAAATAAACTCACTGAGAATGAGTTTTTCAAAATACTGTCATCGAGATTATAAAGAATGCGAACATTCGGTTGTTTCAACAAACGCTGGTTTCTTTCAGCTGTATCTACAAGCAATCCAAATGACAATTTAAATACAATATTTAAAAAAAAAGCTATTTTACCTTTTAGGCCAACGAACAAAAAGAATCCTAAAATAGAATTCATTCAAGTCTTAGAAAATTTTTTAGTTGATAAACCTAACTTCCGATTTTCGACGAAACCATCCATAACATTGTCGATGCATTTCTACAAGAAAAAAAACTCATTCATTTAAAATATTTGTATTTTTATATTAATTAACTTACAAATAAAAAAATAATCGTAGTTGAATTGTTTCAAAAAAGTGACGCATTGTATACATCTGAATAGAAGGTGCTGACCTAAAATAATGCATATTAAATTATTGCGTCAAGCAAAAAAGTGAAGAAAAAAAATTTTGCGTGAGTAAAATAAAGCAACTACACTTAAAACGTTCTGTTTGAACATACGACCAATATAAATTTCTTTCTTTCTTTTTCGTTCCTTGCAAAGGCAAACACATGAGAGAAGGTCGTCGAATGTGAGCCACACATGAGTCGATTATTCATCCACATTTTACCTCTAGCAGGTATTTCACATCCAGTGTTTTTTATGTTAAGTACCTCCAGCAAAAGCAAAATGTACAAGATACTTACGATATTAGAAGTTGTTTGTGTATGTTTAGTTGCTCTTTGTCATTTATATTTATGTTTTATCTCCTTCTATGTACTGTCCTTTATCTTTGTGTGTCCTTGTCCTTTCAAATTTTATTTATGTGTTGATTTTCTTTTTAGCTCTGTACTGAGTTCTGTTACTTATACTTGTTCTTCGCCTAAACTGATTCTGCCAGTATTAGCAATCTGTTTAATCATCATCTTTATCTTCATCAACTCAATCGATAAATGCTGGTATTATTGAAGTATCTGATTGTATTGAAAAATATACAATAGAAAGTGTTATAATTTGTCTTAAATATAAAAGAAATCAGTACACAATAGCAACAATCTATTGGAAAATGATTCATGAAACAACAATTATTAATGACAATGATGTCATCGGAATATTAGAAAATGGTTTCCAATGGCTACTTGACATCAACAACAGAATTTATTACAAATAATGTTAAAGATCTCTATACGATGACATCACGGCAGGATGACATAGATGTATTTGTCGGAGCTGACTATAAAATTTAATTGCCTTTAAAAGGCAACTAGTTGAGTTTTCAATTTTAGAAGCAACTAGTCGTCTTTAAAATTGAAGATACAACTAGGATGGAGCTAGTTGCCTTTTCAATTTTAGAGATAACTAATTGTCTTTAAAATTGAAGATACAACTGGGATGGAGCTAGTTGTCTTTCCAATTTTAAAGTCAACTAGTTGACTTTCGTATAGTAAATGTTTATTTCTATGCTAGATACAATGTTTATTGAATAGATAAAGTTGAGAAAAAGGAATGAACATTGAACAAAGTCATATCAATAGTGAACAAGGAAATCGAAAAATCTAATAGGACGAGATGTATAACAGGTCTAACAATTTTTACATTTTGATTTTTTATCGCCGTGACATTTTTGTACAGCATTTTCGTTTGTTTTTCCTGCAATAACATCGATTTGTGTTGCAATTACCGAAACATTTACAAGTTTCTGTTGATTTAAAATTTGTGTAAATTTGACTTGCTTGAATGAAAGTAATTGTAGGTAATTCATCAATATTAATAGCTCGTAATGATCCAAAATTCGCTGTTGTGAGATCTAAAAGCGTCAATGAGTCAAAATGTTCTTTTATAATACCATCTTTTGTAGCAACTGTGTAGATAAATTCACCATTTCGGACATATTTATCAATTATTTTACATGGTAAAATGGTGGAGGAAGTATTTGTACGATCAACATCTGAAACTTTTAATCCAACAATATCACCAAAATCATACGTTCGTTGTCGTTTAGCTGAATTTTTTTTTATACTTGATGAGTTGTGATTGTGCATGTTTAAGATATGATTCTTCGGCTTCTTCTCGAACTCGTCGATATTGATCTTAAGAATTTAAATTAATATTTAAATTAGCTTTATTCTGTGGCAATTCAGTTTCATCGACACATTCTTCATGATCAATTACAATATCTTGTTGTATATCATCTTTATCATTATCTTCTTCTTGATCTTCATTATGTATCATTTTTTCATTCGTATTTAACTGTTCAGTCTTATCATCACCTTGAACAGAAGTTGATCGAGATTCATCTTCATCCACTTCCCTACTTATACTTGCAATGTCATCAGATAAATCTTCTTCTAAAATCATTGTACTAATACCACCTTGTTGTTGACGATTGAAAATGGTTTTCCAAATATCGTCCTCTGTACATGGATGTTGGCCAAAAACTACTTGAAAAGGAGTCTTGTTTGTGCTTTTTGCTACACTAGTGTTAATAGCTAGCATTACTGAACCAAGACCTGAAGGTCAATCTGATGTATTACTTCTACTTAACCATTTACTAAGTAGTTGTTGAACAACAGAGTTGCCCCGTTTCACCAGCCCCTGGGATTGAGGATGTCTTGGTCGACCATTTATTATCAATAAACCAGGCCAAATTTTTGTTAAATCTGTTATCACCTTAGCCACAAACTCCCTACCGTGATCTGATTGAAGAATTTTTGGTGGTCCGAATTGGTAAAAAATTGATTGTAACATATCTGCTACATTGTTGGCTTCCTTTTATATCATTGGAAAAAGCCATGAGTATTTGGAGAAGTGGTCTTTGGCATGAAATATCCATTTAAAACCATTGTATTCATTACTTCGCATGTCAATAAAATCCATTTACATTCTTGTCATAAAACCAACGGACACTATTGGTTTCCCAATAACAGGTTTAGGAAAAATTCTTCGTGATACACAGTGATCACATAAACCAATGGACAACTTGACTATTTCAAGCGGTATCTGAGCAAACCGAGTTTTAATCTAAATTACGAAGAAAAATGTCTTGCAAAATATCAAACAATCTGACATTAGCTTACCTCATGCCAAGTTTTGTCTCTACCTAAATGACCAACAGCAATATAACATTCATTAATTGTTTCAAATAAGTTTTCATATTTCAGAACAGATAGTTTTTCTTTTATGCAATAAATTGTGGGTTGACCACCAAGTTTAACAACAGTAAAACGTTTTTTTGCCCAAAAATTAAATTGTGCATCGTATTTTTTTTCGTTTAATAGTACTTGTAGTATTTTGTTGTACGTTCCAGCTGTTATCAAGTATTTTGATTGTCATCTGACGCTCAATGCACTTAGATAGGCATCTAACTTCGAGTAGAATACTTCCTTCATTATTAAATATTATGATAGTACTACGATTATTAAGAAATTATTTGTTAAATCAACATGAAAAATTTTCCACCACTTGAAAATCATTTACTATCGGTTATTGCATAACAATTTTACGTTTCTACATTTTAAAGTCAACTAGCTCCATCCCAGCTGTATCTTC